GAAGACACATGAGCCCCACAACGTAGGGATCTGATGGTGCCACGCAGGTTCCCGTTTGGGACTGCCTACTCCTCAAGGCAACAGAAGCTAGGTTTGGGGTTTTCTTAACTTCTGGGGAACATAGCTCACTACACAAGATATCAGGCCCATGTAAACACGGAAGCAAGGTGACAGGAAAATGTCAAGGGCATAGTAGTGCAGGGTTCTCAGGGAGAAAGTGGTGCACACACAGCCCAGCACACTGGGCCTTCTGACGTCCTCTCCAGGCTGTCACAGACTGGGTCGCCTTCTGGAAAATGAATACTCAGGTCGCAGCATCTCTTAGCCATCCTTTTACTGGTGGAATGTGCCCAGGGCACCAGGTTGTTGGTCCAAAGAAGGCAAAGGAAGAGGGGAGGAAGTGAGAAGCCGGCAGGATGAGGCTGACCGATGCACATTTTATAAACACCCATTTCCCTGCTTCCAGGGAGCAAACGACCACAGACCTCCGCTGAGCCCATTGGAAAACCAAATTCTGTGCCCTGCTAGTCAGAAAAAGATACGTTCCTCGTATGAATTGTGGACAGAACGATGGAAAGGGAAACTGGGAAGAATGTCTGAGGTCCAGGAGTATTAACGTTCATCCTTCCACTGCTCTGGCACCGGTATCTACACAGTAATCTCAGCTGTGACAGGGATCGTTGACCTTCCATGTGAAGTGCATTGTCCTGTGCTGGGAGCCAAGTATGAAGACAGGCAAAGGGCAAGGTCCCTGGCCCTGAGGGTCTCACAGCTCAGAGGGAACACCAGCTCCCTGTTCCCTCTGCCCTTCTCAACCCACTGTGTCCCAAGCCAGGAGCCAGGTGCAAACATCCATTCAACTGGAGGGCGTGGGATCCCAGCAGTGAACAGGGCAAGCAGGTTCCCTGGCACCAGAGGGTGGGTGATGGGAAGAAATCTGCTGAGAAACAAGGAAATGGGTCAACACAGACAGAGGGAGGGACTGTGCTGGGAGTCTGGGCCTCAGAGAGGGGCAGTAACACTTAGAGTAGGGGTGGGGTTGCCTTCTTCAGTGGCTGCAAAAGAGGGAAGGGAAAGTGGGGATGGGACAAACTGAGACCACCACCGTGTGAGCAGAGAGTAGGAAGACAGAGCAGAGGGTGTGCCTCGGTCCTTCCTCTAAGACACTGCTGTGGTTTGCACACACCCCTTAAATTCCTCGTTGGTAGCACTTGGCAGGAACTAGGACCAGATGAAGTCATGGGGTTGGGGCCTCCCATGATGGTATTAGTGGCTTCAGAAGACAAGAAAGAGAAGTGAGGTCTCTCTCTTGGTCTTTCTCTGCCAGGTGACGCAGCTTGGAGCCCTCAGCAGACACCAGCGCCCTGTGTGTCTATGCCCAGCCTCCAGCACCAGAAGCCAAATAAACTTCTGTTCTTTAAAATGACCCAGGCTGTTTTCTCACACCACTGAAAATGGACAAAGATACACGCGCTTCTGGAGACACCAAACTCACAGAAGCACAGAGTGGGACAGAGGGAAGCAGGGCCCAGTGGAGGAGGAAATAAGAGGGACGGTGGTCGCAAGGTACTGAGTTTCAGTTACAAGATTAATAGGTTTCTGGGACTTTAATGTATAGCATGCTGCGACAGTTAATCCAGACTGCCACCCTGCCTGGATTGAAAGCTAACCAGGAAATTACAAAAGCACATTTCTAGGTGTTTCTTCCAGGGGAGAAAATTGGTTTCCCCAAGCTATGCACCTTGAGAGATTTCCCACATCTACTCTATCAAGCACTCAGATGTGACACTTCCTCCTTCTCCTGCTGGAAAGCGTCCTTCCCCTTGTGGAAGGCCATTACTTACTCATCCTAACACCTTTGGGGCTTCACTGTGGGCTTGCCTCCTGGAAGGTGGGCTTCAAGGGGCCCAGGCATTGGCACTCCCTTTGGGCCCAGAAGGGCTCCCTGGAGTCACTTCTTGCTGGCCCTTGAGAATCAATCAGCTGCTGAATTTCGAAACGGTTGCAAGCCCGTTGGCATTGCTGTTAGAAATCAAGCACACTGGGAGGAATCTCACCGGGAGGATGGAAACAGGATGCATCTCCGTGTGTGCCCCTTCCTCCACTCTGGGAAGCCGGCACTAAGCTGGACCAGCACAGCCTTTATGAGTTCTGCAATCAGAAGCAATTAGACCCCACAGCTTCCCTGGCCACTGGGTCACCTACTCACTTACAGGACTTTCCAGGGCCAATCGCCCGGCCCAGCTGTCACCTCCTCAAGCCACGGCTTTGCACAGTGTGGCCCCTGGCTCTTCACACAGCCCTCTCATGCTCAGCAGGGCCCTCTAAATGTCAGGGTGCAGCCTGGAACTTCCCTTGCCCCTTCCATGTGCCACCCCAAAGGTTGGGAATCCAGCATCTTCAGGGCACGGCCAAAGCTGCATGAGCCTGAACAGACCAGGATGAAAAACGGACCCTGGACATTCGATATCACTTCTTCCCTGTGATGCCTGAGGTTGCCATGGTGATGAGAGAGTCCCACAGATGCCAGAGACTGAAGAAAATCCTACTCAATGGAACTGGGAAAACTCCACTGGCTTTCTCCTCAGTGTGCAGGGGGAGTGGACAGGACCACCACTTGGCCCACTGAGCATGGTGGGTGTCTGAAACATCGATTTTTTAGAAAGTGACCTCAGGTCACCAAAGGACAGTTACTACTGAGGAGGTACAGAAGAGGGCAGGACTGCAATGCGCTGCCTTCTGTCACTGCAGGCTCTGTGGTATCTACTGCTTTACACCACCATCTAGAACCTGGCCCATCATGGACCCTTAATAGATGGACTGAATGCGTTTACTGAATGCCAGTGCTGGGGACACAGCTGCTAATGAGGTACGGGCCCTCCCTGAGTGGCTCACTGTTGATGCAGGAAAGGGAATTGCAGCAGAGCTGCAGGGCCTGCTCTGGGCTGGAAGAGGCCACAAGGGGGAGGGCGGGGAGTTCTGCAGAAGCCCGAAGGAGGAGGTGGTGGCTGCCCTAGCACCCCCGAGAGGACACCAGCTGTGCTCAGTCTGCAGCGTTGGACCCTGGAGAATCAGGACAGTGCCTGGCACCAAGGGGAGCCTAACAGATTCCTGAGAAGGAGCAGAATCCTCCTAGTGGGCGCAAGGAGCAGGGGGAGGTGCATTCTGGGCTAAGCAGCAGCATCGCAAGGGGATAGAGAAATAAGAGCAGCAGGACATACATCAAAGACTCCACAAGCCCATCCGAGTGGCCACCTCTACCAGGAACCAAGATGGCGGCCGGACTGGGTATTAGGAAGTGGACTGGGCATAGTGGTAGAGACCACGCCCCCCAAAGACATCTATTCTGTTTTGGGATGCCTCCATGGCACTTTTTGCGAAGGAGTAGCAGGCTCAGTTGGCACTCAGATAAATAAGATGTGCCCCTGACCCCGCCCTCATAGGGCAAACTGGGGACGGGTAACTGGTTGAAGGCTGGAATGTAACTGAGGTCGTTGTAACCACAGCCAGAGCCAAAGAGGATGACTTCGATGGAAAGGACGCAGCTCAGTAGCTGCAGAGAAATCCTCTGTCACAGGCCCTGGGGGCCTCCACTCGAGGTGCCCCCCCAGCCTCTTCCCCTGCCTCTCTACCCCCGCTTCAGCTAGGGCAGACTGTTGAGACTTCATTGAAGTCTCAATACCTAAGATCTTGTTGCTGATTTCTGTGGTTGTTTCTTGGCTCAGAGTAACACGTAGGACATCCGGGTATTGACTGCTACTCACAGAAGGTTCTAGTAACAAAGGGCTGTGAGAACTTACACAATGGCTTCAGAAATTTGTCCTCCCCCTCGCCCCTACCAGGTGTTCCCTTTCACAGTTGTGCTGTAGAAACAGTAATAGGCGCTCCCTTGCTGATTTTAAACAAAGCACCTTAACAATGAGTCTAGGAAACAGCCAAACGGGGAAGCGGAAATGAAGTCTAATGCAGGTGAAACCATGCATGAGCCCTACCCGCGAACCTCCTTCAGGAAACAGTCTAGCATGGAAAGCTCAGGACGTGTCTTCCACCTTTGGTGCTGTAGGAGACGCAAGTACGGTCTACACCCAGACAAAGGAGCCACCTGACTGCCAAGGGCTCAGCCAGCCACGGCTGACCTCAGACACAGGTGCCCCGCACGCCCAGCACAGCTTCCTGAGTGGTTCTGCCTGTCCCAGACCAAGGAGTTTCTATCTAGATGACCCCTAAAGCCTCCGGGGATAACAGGTGGGACCTTTGGAAGATTACAGGGACATGGCAGCTGGCTGGCTGTTAGGAAGCCAGGCCTGGAGAGAAGGGGCGGTCCCTGGGGCGGGGCCTCTGGGACGAGGTGTCATAGGGGCAGGGCCTATGGGAAGAGGCAGCCCCTGGGGTGGGACCTATGGGAAGAGGCGGTCCCTGGGGCGGGGCTTGTGAGAAGAGGCGGTCCCTGGGGCGGGGCCTGTGAGAAGAGGCGGTCCCTGGGGCGGGGCCTGTGAGAAGAGGTGACCACAGGGGCGGGGTGACGGGGGTGGGAGGTTTTCAGGAAAAGCTGCCTCTTAGCCACTCCTCAATGGGTTTACTTGTCATCCCAGCACTAGGGGAGGCTGACGCAGGAGGTCTGAAAGTTCTAGCCCAGCCTGGGCACCTTAGCAACTCAGCAAGATCTTGTCTCAACATAAAAGAAGCCTCTGGAATTGGATTAAAGTAGGCTTTGTGGGCTGGAGTCAGAACCCAGAATTCAGCACACCCATGCTGGCATGACCCCCTGCGTGGAGTGAAACTCAGTTCTCAGTTGTCCTTGTGACTCACGCAGCAGAAGTGATCTGCTGAAGCGCTAGACTCCCGTGCAAGACGCTATCTGCCATGGTCTCGTCACACACCACGTATCTTCTCAAATACACAAAACCTTCTCTGCTAAGTCTGCTTTCAGCTCAGGTTCCCCAGGCATCCGGGTCTCCCACCCCGCGGCCCAGAGGTCCGAGCCGGGCGTGGCCACTCACCACAGGTTGACCAGGAACGGGTGCTCCAGCCCCTGCATGATCTGCAGCTCCCGGAACACGTTCCGCACCTCGTCGCGCTCGATGCACTTCTGCTTGTTCATGTACTTCATGGCGTACATCTTCTTCGTGTCGCGCTTCTGCACGATGCACACCTGCGCGGCAGAACAAGAAGAGAGTGCGTGAGCTGGGCTCCAGTCTGTTGTGCACACTGGGAGCTGAGCAGCTGGGCTGAGCCCAAACCTCCCTGCGTCTGGGAAGTGCGGCAGGGGACCGGTGTCGTCCCTTTGGGAGATGCCTGGGCTAAGTATCAGCCCCTCTGCTGGGGAGGCAGGAGCAGCTTCAGGGGCGGAAGCTGCAGCCTGACCTGGGAAGCTTGCAGCGCTGGAGGACAGCAGATGGGGGCACTAGGGACAGGAACCGCAGGTGCACACTCTGCTGCAGACCCTGCCCTGGTGACCACGGCCCTGGGACATCTGTGTGCATGTGCACTGCAAACCCTGTCTCTGCCCGAAGGACCCCTGTGCCTGCCCCACCTTAGCACACCCCTGCCTGGTCTCTGTCCCTCCTCTGCCCATGGACACTTCCTTTCCAATAGAACCCGCTTTATAGTCTGGGCAACAGACCAGCAAAGCCAGAAAATCAACATCCTCAACCCAAACTCATGACGGACAGGATGAAGGGATGGGAGACAAACAGCCCTGCAACCTCGCCTGTTGTGTAAGTCACAGGCCCCCCGCTGCGTGAGTTCATCTGCCCTGGTGGGTGACTTTCCTTCTGCTTCCCCAGTTCCCTGCCTGATTCACCTAAAGGTTTCTTTGCCTCCTCATCCTTGCCTTGGATCCTCCTTCCTGGGCGCACCAGAAGCCACCACAGCCCCATGTGGTGTGTGCCCTACTGCAGGCAGGGCACCGACAACTATTTACAACCACCTGGTGGCCTATGGGTGATCCTCCACCCTCCCTCTAGTTCCGGAAGCCCCGGGTGTGATGAAGGAGCTGCCACGTTCACCTAGGCCACTGCACGGCAGGGCAGGATTCATACCCATAGCTCGGGGTGAAGGGTGAGTCCCTGCCTGGGGTGGGGACAAGCAGTGTGAGATGGGTCTTCCCAGGAGTCTGCAGCAGCGTCTGCAGCAGGAGGACATGAAAAGACAGGAAGGGGCAAGGGCAAGGGGTACCATCCAAGAGGCAAGGGGCAGGGACAGGTGCTTGAAAGAGTTACGCAAGGCTGAAGACCGCAGGGCCACAGGGGCCGGAACAGGAAGAGCAAGGAGGATTGAGGATCAGATCAGAGGTGGTGTGGTGAGGAACAGTGTTACCTCCTCAGCTTACACAGAAGACACGTGTGATCTTTCAGCTCCAATCCAGTATGACCCACCTTAAACAATGAGATCTGCTGGGAACCTTGGTTTCAGTAGTGTGCAGTCAACTACAGTCTGAAAATACTGGATGGGAAACTTCAGAGATGGATCACCAATAAATTATACACTGTATGCTGTTCTAAGTGTCACAGTGAAACTCCATGTTGTCCTACTCCATGCACCCAGGGTCTGGATCTCCCCTTTGTCAGTGTATCCATGCTGTATATGCTACCAACACGATGATCACTTGGCAGCAAATAAACTGTTGTAGTGTCACAGTGCCTGGGTCCAAGTAGCTCTTACAAACTAGCCTGACACTATATCATTTCTGTCCTTTGGTGCCATCTGATAGTATCACATGTGGGATGAGCAGAGGACCATAAGTTACACTGAGAGAGAAAAAGAAAGAGATTACATTTGAATGACTTATCACAGTGACTGTGAGGATCACTATTATTGGTGACCCCTGACTGGGCCTGATTCATAAAGTAAGCTCTGTCACTGGTGTGGAGGTGTAAGAAAAACAGAGCACACATAGAGTTTGGTACTATTTGAGGTCCAAGGCATCTACTGTGGCCTCAGATCATATCCCTCAAGGTTTACAGGGGATTATGGTGCCCCCAATAAGGTCAGGTACTCAGATTTCAGGAAGATTCCAGGTTGGAGGACACTATTCAACTAGCACAGGCATGATCACCGTCCCTACCCTACAGATAAAGGGAAGGGGACCAGTCTTGCTCTGGACTCAAGCCTGAAGCCTAGTCTCCCTGCCTCCTGGGAAAGGGGAGCCCTGGAGGACCCCAACAGGAAGATAGTGCACAGGGTACCTGACTAGGAGCTCAGGTTTTCTCCTGGCTCCTGGGCTGCTCTCCTGTTGGATACGGGACCCTTGCAGACTCGGATGTGCTATAAGTCTGAGAAGGACAGATACTGTACAGAGAGGCTGAGTCCAGTCCAACCCCAGCCTGCTCCTCCGGGAAGTGAGTTAGATTCTCCCTGCACCACAGGGTGAACATAAAGGAGAACAAGGAGGAGCCAGAGGCCCAGGAGGTTGACAGATATCAGCTAAGTGACAAGCATGTGTTGGGAGACCTCCAGAAATGTTTTCCCAGTGCAATCTGTGGCGTGGCGGAAGGTCTGTGGGACTCCTGTCCCCAGTGACTGCCCAGAAAGGCAGGCAGCCAGAGGTGCTGTGTGCCAAGGAACCCCGGCATGGCAGGAATCTGGGCTGAATCCTGGATTCTGGAGCCCCTGCCGAGGGGCAGGCACCAGAGGGACAACATGGCCCAGCCGGCCCTCTGTCTCCTGCCCCTTCTCTGCACCTTGGCTTTGGACTTCCAGCTTCCACAAGAAGCTGTTGCCAAGCAGTTTGTGGTATTTGCTGTGGTGGCCTAGTGGATGAAACTGAGGCAGACACATCCCCTGTTGCCACCTGCTGTGGCCGGGTGACATGGACACAACTCCTGCTCTGCCGTCCGTGTCCTGCTGTGAAGTGGGTTAGTGGGATCCAGTGGGAAGAGCCTGGCGGGGTCACTGGCCTACAGAGGGGACCAAGAAGAGGGCTGGAGGGTGACAGGCAGATCCCCGGCCTAGTGTCTTCCCAGCTCAAAGCCCCACGACAACCATGTGACTGAGGCATGTGGTCTGGTGAGCTCTGGACCTGTGAATGGAATGGAAGTCCTCACCAGGGGCTCTGCCTACATCCTGGGAACGCCTACTTTACCACTGAAGGCTCGGAAGCCCGGCCCCACTCAGCAAGGCCACCAGGGAGCCCATGCCACAAGAAATCAGAGCTAACCCAGCAACTCAGCCAAAGCCACGAATTGCCCAAACACAGGCTCCTGGTGAGCAGGGCCCCTCAGCTGAGCTCATTCCAGCTGCAGTGTCCTCAGCAGGCACTTCTGAGGCACCCCAAGCACCAGAAGGCTGAGGACTCCAGGCGGTGGAAGCTTCTGAACTCCATTCTGTGTCCTAGACTCTGCCCCACCCATTTGCTCTTAGCAAATGCTGGTGAATAAGACCAGCCCCAGTGTTGTGCTAGCAATCAGGATGCAGTGTGGTTACAGAGAGAGACCATGCTGGCTACCATGGTTCAGATGATTCCCTGAAGGCAGACTGTCTTCCAGCAAAGGTTTCAGCCACCCAGTGTGCAACCCCTTACTCTAATGCAGTTCACACTTTTCTTCCAGGAAAAGGAGGACCCATGATATATGGACATGGAGTCAGGGGTCTCCACAATTGTAGCCAGGGAAACATTAGTCTGTTGGAGGTTTCTCTGAAGTCTTGCTTTCTGCACAAAGAGAAGTATCTATAAATTGCCTTATCTGTCTCTTCTCCACAACTCTCTTTGTCCTTGTTGAATAGCAATGTGACATCTGGAGCTGTAGCAGCCCCTTGTGACCATGAGGCCAAGGCAACTGCAGAGATGCTGAACCTGGCACCATAAATCCACCTCCCTTCAGATTTCCTGTTCCATCAGAAGGACAAACTACTCTGGGTTAATACACCACAAGGCAGGTTTTCTGGTCCTTGATGTTGAACTTGACTGACACACAATGACTTTTCACGGCACATAAATTCCATGCAAGCTCTGGTCAATGATGCCTTACTGGGGTCACCAAAAGTTGGTCTCAGTCTGGGAGGCTGAGGCAGGAAGGTCACAAGTTTTGAGCCCAACCTGGGCAACTTAGTGATGAGGGAGAACTTATCTCAAAATAAAAAGTAAAACACAAAGGGCATTGCTGGCGATGGAGCTCAAGGCGAAGGTCCTGTGTGCAGTCCTCGGTACCACAGGAATAAAACAGTTGGCCTCAAGAAACATACTCATTTGGTCAGGGATTTAGCTTGGCGGCATAAGCCCCTGCCTGGCAAGTGTGAGGTCATGAGTTCAATCCCCAGGATTAAAAAAAAGAAACACACATTTGGTTGAGTATTTCTCTCAGTAAAAATGTATTGCACGTCTGCCATGGGTCTGGTACCATGTGGGTCATGAAGATCTCCACTCTGCTGGGATTCCAGGTTTGGGAGACAATCAGATACGGCCTGAGAGCAAGGCCAGAGTCCCTCCATGTAGGTCCCAGCCTGGGTGGCCTGGCAGCCTCCCGCCCTCTCCACCCTGCCCCTGGGCCACTGCTGGGCCTGTTCTTTCCTCTGAGGGGACACAGGGCTGCCCCAGGCTCTGTGCCACCTGAGAGGAGACGCCTGAGGCAGCCGAACAAAGCAAGCCCCCATCTGTACCCACACGGTGCTACTGTGCACCCCTCGTCTCCCATCAAAGCCCGGATGACAGGCGCTTGCCCCACCTCAGTGCCTGGCACAGTGCAGCCCCGATGACACTGCAGATGAGCAAGCGAATGGTCACCATTTGGAAGAACAGTGCTGCAGCAGAGGTGGCTAGGAGACCCCAGAAGAGAAGGGCGAGGACGGGCACCCTGCAAAGGTGGCGCTGGGCCTGCACACTGGGGGCCCAAGACTGGCCTAGCAGGGACAGAGGTGCTGATGCCAGCTCCACTCCCTCCTTCAGGAGATGAGAGTCATGCCTGCCTGGACAGGGGCTGTGAGGGCACAGTGAAGGACAAAGGAGCTGCTTGCATTGGCTGTGACAAAACACCAGAGAACAGCTTAAAGAATGCAGTATTATTTCGCTCCTGGTCACAGAGTGCAGCCCATAGGCCTGTGATGGGTCACAGAGGCAGCACTGTCACGGCAGGAGGATGCGGGGGTCAGGAAGCAGAAGGCCAGAGAGCCAGAGAGCAGGGACTGGGGCAAGATTCAGCCCTCAAGGTCCTCACG